ATTTATACATTTAGAATATAATAATTACCGTTAAAAAAATAAGACGTTTTTAAAAATGCAGTATTTACATTTGAAATTTGAGCGAGCTTAAAATTTGATCTAACGCAGAATATAATTATTGAAGTTGATCATACCAGGAATTTCTAAAAGCTGTCTATTACTAAGATAAATGAAGTCCGATTAGGGAAGCAAGAATAAATAGTCTGTCGCGGGGACAATTATAAAGTAGAAAGTGACGAGATTCACTATCTGACTGTTCTTCGATGTTCTTAATGTTCACTATTATACTATGGTAATGTGTAACGGCAAATAATAATCAACGGTGGGACTTGTACTATATACGTTTATCGATTTATGCATAATGCTGTATTATAAAGATTAGGTGAAAAGAGAGAGAGAGAGAGAGAGAGAGAGAGAGAGAGAGAAAGAGAGAGCATGCGCGATGCCTTATCTTCCTCACGTCCTCGCCGTGGGTCTGGCTAATGCTAAATAACATCAATGTTCAAATGAGCATAACTTGTCAGCGAAAAAAAAGTCGTAGAGACCTCAATGACCTTGCGTTTTTCTCGTCTCAAAAAGCCTTTTCAAACTCACGCAACCCCACATGCCATTTAAGATTTCGACCCCCCCCCCTGCCCTCCTGGAGGGTTAAAGTGGATGTTTTCAAGGTTAAATAATAGATTTCATGATGCCATTGTAACCCTATAATCCAATATATCTCCAACCACTCAGAAATTATTAGGTGGCCTGTTTTAAGTGCCTCACCCTGTATATCTACACATCTTCTAAATTTCGAATCCTGTTTTCACGTATATTATGCATATGCATGAATGTTTTGTTATATTAAATCCACGTCTTACCTATAAAAACTTTGTAATGTAATACTTTTCGCACCAAAATGTGGTTCATTAATGCGTTCTTTGATGAAAGTTACAGCCTCCTCATTCGTAAACGTATCCCATAGACCGTCAGATGCCAATATTATAAACATGGGATTGTGATCATTCAAATCAAATGTTAAGATGTCCGGATCAGCAATCACTAGCTTTTTATCTTTCAGAGGATAGTCTCCTAAAGCACGAGAAGTCGCTAATATACCAGCGACTCTCCATACTCCATTAAAAGTTACCAAACCACCGGCTTTATTTATTCTTTTCCTTTCCCTTTCCTGAAAACAAATTAGAATAATTTAATATAATGATTAACATATAATATTAAGTATGCAATTTATGTAAAGAAGAAAGAAGAGTATTTTTGCGCACAAGGCGTTTTTATGTTTATATTCGAATTAGCAATAATTTTATTCGCCGATTCACTTAACGATATGACCAATACATAATGATATATCCTACTATACAATTCAATACCAAAATCTTTGCAAATATAAATTTCTTTTTTATTTCAAAAGAATTTTTTCGTATCAAAAATAAAATATAGTTATGATGTTTTGCAAAGATTTAATTTTAACGCTAATGATTAAATTAAACATTTAAATAGATAACAATTAAATTTTTAATTATATTTCTTAATCTATTTTTAACGCATGTATATAATTCTATTCTATATTTACATTATATTATTATCAGATAGAACGTCTCAAATTTTGTAAACCGAAATGCTGTAATAGATAGTCCAGTCAAATTTTGTCAAAAACAAATTTTATAAAATATTTACTAAATTATTTTGTTGACAGAATTCTAATAAAAATAAAATATTATAAAATCTATTAACAGAATATGATGGCAACAGAATATGATTGACTACAAAATTTGTTATCTGTCCAGTTTTTGCTATCAGATTATGTCGGCAGATTTTGCTGACAGAATTTTACATGAGCTTAATGTTTGAAGCCAATTTTCTATAATATTCTGTTCAAATCTGCTAGCTATACTAGCAAACTGCTAATATCTCAATCAATAGACATTTTGTAAATGTATTTTTTCATTAATTATTAATTTCCTGAACTCATTTCGGAAAAAATAATTACTTAATTTTTTTTCATTAAATGTTTATTTAAAATAATCATTTTCTAAAAAAAAATTTTTTAATGTTTATTTAACATTTTTAAGTATTTATTTTTCATAAATTATTCATGTAAAAAAATTATTTATTAAACATTTTTTTAATGATTATTGAATATTTTGTAAATATTTATTTATCATTAATTATTTATTTGAGAAAATAATTTCAGTAGACATTTATCTAACGTTTATTTAATATTTTTCCAATATTTATTCTTCATCAATTCTTCATTTGAGAAAATAATTTCAGTATACATTTTTATAACGTTTATGTAATATTTATTTAATGTTTATTTTGCATTTATAAAATGTTTATTTAATATTTAGTAAATATTTATTTTTCAATTATTTATTTTAAATCCCAAAAAATAATATAATATGTATATCTATTTTTTATTAAATAAATAAATTTTTATTCAAATAAAATTTTAATTATATTGCATTTTTTAATGATATTCTAAAATTTCATATTTATAAAAAAAAATATTTCCATCTTTTTAATAATTTTATTCTGATCCATCACAGATAATGTATAGTCAATATTACGCGCGCAACAATTAATAAGGATGTAGATGGTGTCTTGTTTTCTGTCTCTTTTTTATGTGCTCACGCATTCTTAGCTGGCTCCTCTACACTAGAGAGCCTCTAATCAGAGTGGCGCCGGTTATCACTACGGTTATCACTTTTGTTTGGTCCATCATGTTTCAGCTTCATTTGTTGGATAGACTGGAGGTACGGTCAAAATGATGCTACAAATGCTTTGAAGCATTTGATTGACTAATCAGAACAAGAATTTTACAAATTGATCAATCAGAAAAGACTTCAAAGCATTTGCAGCATCATCTTATTGACTGTATGTACCCTGGGTGAGACATTCTTTTTCTCTCTCGCTCTAGTACTCTCACTTCTCTCTCGCAGGATTTCGCTAAAACATGGCGTAACAGTCCTCTTATGGCGCCACTTTGATAAGAGGCTCTCTATTTTACAGCTCATTGCAGGACTAAACAAAGCCTAGTATCTGATGCAGAGCTGAAAAAAACTAGTGTCTGGCGCAGGCCGAACAAAAACCTTATAGTGTCTGGCAACAGGGGTGGGACTATCATTATAACATCTTAACGGGTGGGCCTTTAGGTCGGATTTTATTTTCGTTTACATTTCTTCATTGTCAGCAAATTCGGATTATTTTTAGTATTGCGTTCTTTTCCTCGATTGATCAGTTAAACTTAACGATATTTAAATATGTACCTGAACAACGCAATGACTTGAAATAGGACATATTTATATTTGCGGAAAAACGAATGTCGAAGAGGGAGAATAGCGGCCAAATTAAGTGATCGAAAAGACGTTGGATCGAAGAGTCGACTCCGAAACATAGAGCGAACCAGTCATTTTGTGAAGTACTGTAAATATTCTCATAAACTCTAATTGTTAATCTTTTCACGACGTCGTGATAAATATACTTATAATCATTCAACGAATTAAATCGAACTCTTTAATTGAACATTTAATTGACAATCCTAAAGGTACAAAAAGAGCAATCGTTAAAAACATGTTTTTATGCATCTCACGGTTTCGATAATAATTGTTTAGAATCCAATATAAATGTTTAGCTTTGACGGATTGTCTCATTCCTTAAAATAGATACGCATAAAAAAATATTCTTAGATTTTTATTTTTAATAACATATTTCAAGGAGAATCAAATCGATTTTGACTATGACATATTATCTGTAATAACATCAGAATTTGATAAATTCTATAATTCTACTATATTACTATTCTACTATTACTACTACTCCTATTACTACTGTTACTGTTATTAAAAATGCCATATATAATCACCAATGTAGAGATTTGTTAGCCTCGAATACGCGGACTTGAGATCTGAAGTCATTACTTGCGGGTTAATATTACAACAAATACTAATGTAGTGACCTTGCATTACTATTAACTTATGTTAAAATAATATTAAAGAAATATAAAACGATAAATACTTGCTGAGGTTTGTGATCAAAAGACAAAGGAATAGCATTTCCCTTTTCATCACACATTACTCCTCTAGAGTCACCAACATTTGCTACGATCAACTTATTGTCTTCCAAAAGAGCGATTAAAGCAGTAGTACCTAAAATCAGAAAAAACAAGTCAAAAAGAAATAAAAATGCACAGATTTCAATACATACTAGATCGCTAACTTAGGTAGTGAGAGGGGGGTGAAGTCACCAATTAATATTATCCGCACTGCAAATGACCGACACTTTCGCCCAACACTCATGTTTCATATATTTACATCGTGTCATATTGTCATATGTCAATGTCACATGTCATAAGTCATTAGTATTAAAAATATATTAAAACATTTTTTAAATGCCACAAAATTGTTGTGTAAAATATTGTAATAATATTCAGCAATCAAGATTTACAAGTTTACATTTTTTCACGTAAGATATAGCATGAGATTTCTGTTGATATTCTACATATTTGATAATGTATTTTAATTATTCTATCTAATTATCTTATTTAGTATATTAATATCTTATGAGTGTGTTATTGTCACAGATTTTTATAGAAATCTGTGATTATTGTATACTGAAAATAATTGTTTTTTTAAATATCATACATTTAGTTTTCTATTTAAAAGAGAAGAAATTTTGAAAAAATGGATTGATGATTGATGGATTGAAATTGGCGCGATTTTTCCGTGTTACAAATGACTGCATAATATCCTAAGCTTCAATTTAATTTACCCTCACTATGCAAGTTAGCGATCTAGTATAGTATAGAAATCTGTGTAAAAGTGACATTAACTAACATATAACAATAAAATATATATTGAGATCTTAAAACGCCAACACTGTACAAAGCGGATCTTGGTGCTTCCATATAATATTAGTGTGAATCTTAATTACAATTTTCGGTTCATAATGTTTATATAACGCTACGGGGGCGCAAATCGTGTGCTTCTCCGCAGCTCCGAACCGAGTAGAATGTAACATCACAATTAAATTGCCGAAGGCAATCTAACAAATCGATGCTCAAAGCATCTATTTTAAATCCTACTTGATGCTTACTTGCATCTAATAAATCCCTCGCGACATCAAATAAATGCTAACTTGCATCTATACGTCGTAAGGGAGGGGGGATTTATTAGACGCAAGTGAGCATCAAGTAGGATTTAAAATAGATGCTTTGAGCATCGATTTATTAGATTGCCTTCGACAATTTAATTGTGATATTACATACTACTCGGTTCGGAGCTGCGAAAAAGCACGCGATTTGCGAACATGTGGTGTTATATGAGTCGAAAATTGTAAGATTCACAATATTATATGGAAGCACCAAGATCTGCTTTGTACCGTGTTGGCATTTTAAGATCTCAATTGTTAATTAACATTCCACGATCTTTCCTGATACTTAATAAAATATATATTGTTACCATAAACAATAAAATATCTTTTTTATTTTTAAATAATTTATATTTTTTAGAAGATAATATTTTGGGTTTATTTCATATAACAAATGTATGTTTTTCTCATACAAGATTGTTTATTTATGTAATAAAATCGATAAATTTAGAAAAATTAAATAAAATACAAGGGCTATGAGAGTTAGCGCGATAAGTGGTGCGCAATAAAAAATTTATTTAAATACAAGCAATTTTTAATAGTATAATTACATAGTAGCTTGATAAGATAAAATTACATAGCTGTTTCGGTTTCGTACATTTTATGAAGCTTCTTATGTGGGACAAACGGGTAGACAATTGCATACTAGAATTTCCGAACATCTGAATCATATTAGTAGAAAAACGTCTACACGGTCGGTTATTACGGAGTATAGGTTACATCATGGTCATGAGTTTGATTGGGATAGAGTGGAAATTTTGGATAACGAAGTATTTTATAACAGACGTCTTATATCAGAGATATTACACATTAAATGTCAAAAGAATAATTTGAATTTACAGACGGACACGGAGCTCCTCGACCATGCTTATTTATTTATCATCGATAACTTCCCAGATAGCCAAACTTGTCAAGAGCACGTATTGTAAATTGTGTGTTGCATATTATGTTAGTAGAATTGCGGCAATAGCCGAGCACAATTTGTTGTTTTAATTATTATTATTGTTTGAATTTGCCGGCATACTGCTGGCATACTGCTAACATTTTGCTATCTGGGTTATAAACATTGCGCTTTTTAACATATATTTTATCGTATTTGACCTATCTCTCACGGATTTTACATACAGATTAATAATAATGTGTCATTCGTTTTGTCGATACCGTTCTGTGAGGACGACGTTGTGAAGTTTTCTTTTATACAGTTTAATTTTAATTAATTTATACGTTTTTATCATAGTGACCATGACACTATATTTTTTTTAATTTGACGACAATTTATATACAGCGAGACAATATTTTATCTTTGCGACAGTGGGTGAGTTATCTGGTTTTAATTCCATATTGTTAAGTCAATTGGAATTCCTACTAAATTAATACATAATTTAAGAAATGCATTTTCAATCTGGCCTATCACCGATTTGAGACTTCTCACACGGTTTCCGTTCCACTGCATAATTGCGGATATTAGTATAGTGAACTAACGTTATTTTATCCTATGTATTCGCTGAAGATGACTGAAATATCAGTCGAAACGTACGAAACCGAAACAGCTATGTAATTGTATTCTATCAAGCTATACTATGTAATTATATTATTAAAAATTGCTTGTATTTAAATTAATATTTTATTGCGCACCACTTACCGCGTTAACTCTCATAGCCCTTATATTTTATTTAATTTTATTGATTAAAAGGAGTTCGGAATTATTTCACTCTTTATTTTTACGATAAATTTAGATATTTGAAATAATATATCCAATTAATAACCAAGTATGAAGAGACAAATTTTGAAAAGCAGTTACTAATTTTTAATGGCAAAAAGGCAACAAATTTCATATAAGTCTATAATATCTGACAATGTCAACAATTAAATCATTAAAAATATAACAAAATCTGTTGACGTACATTTGCCAGCAGATTGGTAGTAGAAATTTGAGCAGAATTTATTTATTTGCGGCTCTTGCTGGGTTTATGCTGCCAATGTGCTGTCAGATTGCCTGCGTGACGTGCGTACAGTTTCTGCCCCAAATCTGCTGGCATAGCATATCAGCAGATATTGTCGACAAATACTGAGCTTATAAAATGGATACAGATGAATATAGATTTGCAATAGGAATCTGATCAAATTTGTTGCCAATCTGCCATTTTGTTATCAGGGATGATTTTATTAAGATAACATTTATGATTTATGACATTAAGATAACATTTATATAAATGATCTTGATTTGGTCTTAGAACACTTTTATTTTAAAATAAAAAATATTATGAAGAGAAAACTATCATGTACGTCTAATCCAGGTTCTAAAATATATGATATCCTTAATTATAATTAATCATCTTGTGTATAGATAACTAATATTTTATTCTTCATATTAATTATAGTTTATGTTTGACTGAAAATGGTTTAATTAGATATTTTCTAATGTTAAGAGATATGTTCTACTATAAATACAATATTAATTTGAACTAAATCACTTAAGTTAATAACACAAATAAATTTGAGATCGTCTCTATTATCACAGCTCGATATGTTGTACTATGTTTTCTATTAATTTCCATCAAATATACGGAGATCGTATATCTAATAAACTGATGCTGACAGCTGAAGGTCGGAATTACCGGCACATTACAGTTAAATACATTTCTCCAAATTGACTCAACGGAATTGAAAATCCTTTCACAGGATTGAAATAGACATTAAATTGTGGTGTGAGACAGACGAATTTGTAGTAAAATCGGAAAAAAATTAAAAAATTACATTTTTCCGAGTCGTACAGCTCTCACCTGACATAAACATTTCATTTGTGTAAAAGTTCTGTAGCTCATATGTACAAAATGCTTACGCTCACACACAGATAATATAAACGAATAATATAAAGCCTTTTGAGTTACGATTGAAAGCGTAGAAAAAAAATATCCACTCAATTGCAATTTGTGGTAATTCGTACGCTTAGCTAACAATAAGATACCGAATGGTAAAAACAGCAAAAATTGCGTCTAACAATAAGTGCTGAATTTTGCAAGAGATGGCGCTTTAATAAGTTAGATCAAGACAATGTACGTGTTTGAGTGAAACAGAAGATATTGTAAGAAGTTCATTTAAAGATACCATTGAAATTAAACAAACTGTTAGAAAATAAAGATCAATACCAGCTACATCCATATTCTTTTTAGCAGTTTCTACCAATAATCTGTCAGCCGCTAGAACTTCATCCGTTAGAAGTCGTCCATAATTGATTTTATTTCCTTCAATATAATTCATCATGTCTACTTTAGGTACTTGCTTCTCACCTGGTCTGCATGGTCTGACCTATAAACAGAGAGAGTATATAATAATAGCAAAACGCGCTTTAGTTTTTGTTTTCATTCAATTTCTTTCTGCATATACAAAAGTTTCTATATGTAAGAAGTTTACGAAAAAAATTGCACATTTGTAATATCTCCACTACAAATTAGAATATACAATACAACTACACGCACGCACACACGCACATGTATACATATATGTGCAGGGTGTCCTAAAACCCGCGGATTTCCTTTTAAGTGCAGATTCTTTAGAATATTCTATGACCAAAATCATAATATGAAAATGTCGAAATTATAATAGTTTTTAAATTAATAGCGATTAAAGTTGGTTAATCACAGAGCTGATATTTTGCGCGTTCAGGCACGATGATATGACAAGTGATATAAATGCTACGAGGATCTTAATAATTAACACCGAGATTATCATACAAATATGCAATAATATTTTTGCTAAGAAATTTTTTTTTTTTATACGAAACTTATTTGTACTTTAAATAATAAATTAATATCGGAACATATAAAAAAATATCAATACAATTACGAAATATTACGATATGTGTCAACTGTCAAAATAATTTATAACTATATGTCCATTATTTACTTTGTATGGTGATGTATTTTTGTAATACCGGTAGATAAACCATTTTTAACATAAAAAGAATTGAATATGTTAATACAATGAGACTGAAATATGTCAAATTAACCTATTTAATCTCAATGCATTCATATTAAATTATCGGCATTATTTTTGTCTTTACTTTAATAAGACATTAAAAGAATTAAAAATATAGAAATTGATAGATTATCAGATTTTGTACTCTTTTTAAAGTTTAATTTAATTTGTATCATCTTTAATATTGTATATTACATTAAATACACACATTACAAAACTAATTATATTAAAAAATAATAATTTGAGATCATGTAAAATAATTTTTTATACGAAATTGTACAATATGCGACCATCAAGAACTGTTTAATCACTGAGGATAGCTTGAAGTTAAGCCGAAACGTTTGTATAACTTTGAAATTATTGTATTATTTTCGGGATTATACATATTTTATGATGTAAACTACATCGGAATTATTATTATAACTTGTGCACTTAAATTACTGCGCTAACTCCTGACAGTCCTTATGATTCATTTCGATTATTTGTTTAATAAAGTAGTCTTTGCTAATTAACATTTAATTTAATAAAAAGATTATTACTCTTAATACTCTATTAATGTAATTAGTTTTGTAATGTATGTATTCAGTAATATACATATTAGACGATACAAAAATTAAATTAAACTTTAAAAAGAGTACAGAATCTGAAAATTTACCAATTCCTATATTTTTAATTCTTTTAATGTTTTATTAAAATAAAGATAAAAAATAATTAAATAAATTATCAGCTTGTATTGTAAACAATAGTCAGGACAAGAGGCCGAAGACGAGCGAAATATAGGTGTCAGTTAATATTTAAATATAACTATATATGTGATTTTACATACTCTAGCTTCAACGAACTGCGAGCCGTTACTATCGGATTCAACGCAGCATTTGATTGAAACAAAACCGTATCATCACGCTGTTAAATAATTTAATGAGTATTAATGCTTACTTGCATATAATAAATCACCCTCCTTCCCCCCTTTGACGGTTTCTGTTTCAATCAAATGCTGCGTTGAATTCGATAGTAACAGCTCGCAGTTCGTTGAAGCTAGTATGTAAAATCACATAGTTATATTTAAATATTAACTGACACCTATATTTCGCTAGTCTTTGGCCTCTTATCCTGACTAAAGATAAAAAATCTATGCCGATAATTTGATATGAATGCATTGAGATTAAATAATTTATTAATTTGACATATATGTTTCAGTCTTACTGTATTAACATTATTCAATTCTTTTCATGTTAAAAATGGTTTATCTATCGGTATTACAAAAATATTCACCATACGAAGTAAATGGACATAGTTATATATAAATTCATTTTGACAGTTGACAAATATCGTAATATCTCGTAATTCTATTGATATTTTTTTATATGTTCCGATATTAATTCATTACTTGAAGTATAAAGGTTTCATATAAAGAAAAAATAATTTCTTAACAAAAATATTATTGCATATTTGTATGATAATCTTGGCGTTATTAAGAGGGTCCTTGTAGCATCTCTATCACTTGTCATATCATCGTGCCTGAGCGCGCAAAATGTCAGCTCTGTGATTAGCCAACTTTAATCGCTATTAATTTAAAGATCGGAAGAGCACACGTCTGAACTCCAGTCACT